TGCAAGTGTATCAATATCGAAGGATTCGAGTTATATTAATCGCGCAAACTTAGACTAGACGCGCGGCCTTCTAAGGTTTCGTATATTTAATACGACGATAAGCGTGCATATATGCGCGCATGCGCGCATATATGCGTGCATAAAGTCTATTAAATACCTCGCTAAGGTAAGCTGTGCACTTAGTTAGCAAAGTGCAAAACTTTAACTTCTACGTTCCGAGTAAACCTTGCGGCGTAGCCGGATACGATAAGCGAAAGTATATACGCGATGCTACTAAGTCTACGGTCTATATATATGACCCGATATCCCTTTCTATTGTATACTATAGCAGTATGCAAAAAGCAAGATTCTTGATTATCGCTTCTTATTCCTTTCATCGAAGGTATTACGCCGTTTCTATCGTAAGCTCCACTTCTTTTCTTAGGTCAGTTTTCCTTTTGTATTGAATGACTCTACGGTTCTGCTTAGTAATGCTAACGGGACCCTTTAAAATAGGTTCTTTCCGAAGGTCTTCGAAAAAGTCCCGCAAATACCCCGAAAGGTATTCGCTTTCTCGTAAGTCCCTTTCTCTCAAAGTAGTCTCCGTAAGCAATGACCACGTGAAGTTTCCAAGGCTGACTAATGTAGTAAAGTAAGCTTAAACCAAGGTCCGGGTTAAGGTTCTGGTTAAGGTCAAGGTTGGGTTAAGTTTAAGGTTAAGGGTTAAGGTAAGGAAAAGGTTTAAACTTCTCACTTTCCTAAAGCCCTTTAACCTTTTTTGTTCTTATCTTATATTCTTGTCTCGATAGATCGTATTAGAATCTATTAAAATATAATATAGCCGGCGTCTATTAGTTAGCGAAGGCGTTATCACTACCTTCGCTACTCGTCATCGACGTCACCGCACTAACGCTTTTTAGCGCTACGGGCGTCGAGCCGTTTATTACTCAAGCAGTATACAAACGCGCCTCGCTTTTAACAAGAGTAAACAGCTCTCGTTCCTCTTTTCAAAAGCTTAAACTGGAATTCAATAATAAAAGAAATCGCTAAGAATACGGCGTTTCGAGTATTATATTCTTTCTTTCGGCTCATACGCATTTAATAGCGTTAGATTATAAAGATTGAAAGAGTCGTATAAACTTCTCCCCCGCTTTAACGAGGTTACGATGTTATCTAAATCATCGAAATCCTCGGTAAACATTTTTCGTAAGATGTCTTTTAGCGGACCAATACGTATATATTCCTATACTAGATTATACTCGGAAGGGAGTATTAGCTTAAGGATAAGCCGCTCGATCACCTTAAAAGTCTCGCTAAACTATTCATTCAGCATCTTTTAAAGATAACCTCGTTTTAAAAGATTCAAATACAATTTGCGTTCGCATACTTTCGCTTCTTTAAGTCGCGTGCAAATTGTATTGTATCTCACTCGCTCGGCCTTAACGAAAGCTCTCTTGGTTGCAAGAAGGTGAGCACTAAAGAAAGGAATATACATATGACGATTAAGTGCTTTCTCGTAAATTCTCGTAACCAATCGATCTTTTACGATTAATAGCTCAACGTCTAGAAAGTGAGCTGAATGTTTAGAATATTCCTACGTAATATCTAAGCTTAGTAGCTTCCATTCGCTTAACCAAGTGTTCAGCTCGCTTTCTATGCTTTTATAAATAAGACAGATATCGTCAATAAAGCGACCGTAGAATTTAATCTTGTTATTGCGATATTTAAAACGACCTTTCTCGTATAATCCATAATAAAGGTTTGCTAAAATCGGAGCGCAAGCGACGCTTATAACTAAACCACTGCGTTGTTAATAGATCTTATCTTAGCATTTAAAGAAGTTGTTTAATAAGACGAATTCCATCATCTTCGTCAAATCACTCTTCCGAATACCTTTCGACGCTCGTCCGATTATTGTTTTAATCGAATCGATAGCCTGGAAAAGGTTTATATTAGTATACATAGCTGTAACGTCACTTGTTACAATCTAGCACCTGTCGAAAGAATCGACCTTTTTAATCTTTGTTAAGAAATCTTATATCGAAGTCAAAACGCTTAAAAAGTTAAGAAGTTTTAGTTGTAAAGCGTAATCTATTACTTCCGCTACTCGCGACGTTATCCAGCTATAGCTTAAGATGATTAATCTAAAGGCCCACGAATGCTTATGTACCTTAAGTATCATATAAAACGTAAGCAAATCATTCGTGCTAGCGCGAATATACTTCTTAATAAAAGCAAGCAAGTAAAAGGATTCATAGATTTCCTTTAGCTGTTTACCAAGTGATATAAATATGAAATCTAATAAAGTATACGCTTTCGTATTACTTATATGGATTGCAACTTGTTCTTTATACTAATCAAGCGAAATAACGCTTAAGCCTAGATTTTTATCAGTTATTTTAACGAAGTAATTCTTCTCGGTTAAATACTGCTTTAAATCTCGCAAATTAAGGTTATAACGTAGAGTTAACTTCGGCAAAGCATTGATCTGTTTATACAATGCATGTTTGATTTCTATTAACCCACTCTCTAATTCATCAAAAGCTTTGGGTAGATCCTAATCGTCTTGCTTAATATAGAACTGAAGTATATAACTTGAGTTTATTAATCGATCTTTAAAGTAGAATTTAGTTCTAATAGATCGTTAGAGCTTTAGCCAAGCTTCGCGTACTAGTTGTAGTCTCATTTTATCGTGTAAAATAAATTTCCCGTTTAGTAATAGCGTTTGCCGTATATTTTCTAAGAGAAATACGTTAAGCCTTTGAAATATATCTAATTGAGTACTTGAAATACTATCAAGATATTCAGGTTTACTATAAGGTAGTAACCATTAAGCTTTAATATCTACGGGTTTTTCAAACCACGTGCGAAAGTAAGAAGACAAATCATTCAACCGAAATTGTTTTAATTGAGAAGCTAGCTGATTATCTAATCCCGCTAATTCTTCTTTGGTTTCTTCTTCCTACTCCCATTTCCTTTTCCTCCCTTCCTTAAGTTTGGTTAAGGTTTCTTTAGTTTAAGGCCACCTTTAGCCTTGTTCGGCTTAAGGTTAGACTTTTTAACACTTATCTCTTGAATTAGTTAAGACCTTAATGCGGAGACTAAAAGACTTACCTTTCGGAGGTGCGCTTTTCGCTTTACCAGACTTGTTCAAGGCCTTAGCAACCGCGAGCTCAACTACGCGAGTGATATCGTTTGCCTTATAATTGCTCATGTAGGTATCCGTATCCTCTTTAAGCTTCAGCTTACTCAGCTTTACGGCAAGCTCATTTTGATGTTTCATTAGTCCGAGGCCAAAAGACCTTCGGAGCCAAGTCACACCTAGTTGCGAGCACGTACGAGTCTCATCTCTGAGATAATCGTTCGATTTGTTTGCCGTACTTGAAAAAGAAGGGCCGAGTGACTCGGTGACCTTCTTAACTTAGGGTTAGGGTTAGGGTT